TATTTAAGCCTTTTCTTGTAATCCTCTGCTTCATTATTTTTATCTGTGCTCCTTCTCTTAGGAATATTCACCCCTTTCTAGTTCTCAGTATATTTTCATGATAACCACTCTTCTGAATGGTAGATATCAGTGGAAAGCAAACAACAGGTTCTTGGCCTTAGGGTATGTAGATGATTTTGCAATCTAGCTTTACATAGAGATGCCCTTTGCATTCAAGGTTTATTAGCCTAATCCTATTCTATATGTAATCATTTAAGTAAGTTAATCAATATACTATAATCCTGGAAAGTTCTTTTATTTTTTGCCTGCTTCTGTCTATCTCTGCATGAGACATTTTGTTTCCTACAAAAGATAGTTAATTTAAATTATACCCAATGAGGATGCAAAAACAGTTCAATAAGGGTAAGAAGTCATAATACTTTGAGGAAAGTCAAAGTCTGGCATTAATTATTCAGAAGTGAGACCTTCCTTTTGATTGCTTTTGCAGTCAATTTATGTATATGATACTTTTCTAGTGAAATTGTATTATTAATCCACTAGTTACAAAGCTTGCCTATGTGGCAGCCTACCTTCCATATATTCACTACCAAATTCCTATTGTTGCAGATTTCTTTGCAGTCTTAAAATGCTAGATTTAGTGTGTGAAACCCAGAAGTGGCTAAATAATATGCTAGTTTGGAAAATATTTATTTTTATTATTTTTCCTTATGTGTGTGTCTGTGTTTAGTTTTGTGATGATGCATATAGGTGTGACAGAGGCCAAAGGTACTGTGTTCTCCTGGAGCTGGAGTTACAGGCAGTTGTTAGCTACCCAACATGGGTACTGGGGACCAAACTGGGGTTCCCTGCAAGAATAATATGTGCTATTAGCAGCTGAGCCACCTTTCCAGTCCCGATAATATGCTACTTTTTATAGGCAATGGCCTATTGTGAGGAAAACAAATCCAGTTTTGCTGGGAAAAAAACTTTACATCTCCCAAAGTTTATTTTCAGAGAGCAGAGCTCTCTTAGAAAGTGTGTGATTCCAAAGGGATCTCTCATAGATACAGGAACACTCAAGAAATAGCACCCAAGTTTTTGCCTCACCTCTCCTAAAGTATGGGTTGTTTGGTAACTTGCTTCTAAAGAAAAATTATATTACAGTGAGTAAAGAAAGCTTGTTATTAGTGTGAATTTGACAACATAATATTCCCCAGGTGATAAAGGTGAATAGCAGCAGTCAGGTGACAATGTATATCTGGTAGAATGTAATCAAGACAATGCTTCACCCTTGTTGCCTTCCTCCCAATGACCAATAACTACAGTGTAACCACATGAAAAAAGCCACTCAGGTTCAAATTAAGGGTTAGTCTACTAAAAACATGGCAAGTGCTCCTTAAAACTGTCAAGATTGTGATAAACAGTAAATATGAGAAAGTGTCATAGGCTAGAGAAGGCTCAGGATTCAGATACTTAGAATTTTGACATTACAGAAAAAGGACATTAAGGAAAAGCAACACTAATAACACTAATAAAATTTAGAGTTTGGTTAATTAGGTGCTAATATTGACTTCTAAAATAATTTCTTAAAATTTCCTTTCTGTATTTGTAAGTGCCTGTGTCTTTTCCTAAGTTCATGTGCACCATGTACCAATAGCAGCCCATGGGGGCCAGGAGGTATCAGATTTCCTAGAACTGGAGTTACAGGTGATAGTTGTATAAAGTGTAGACATGTCCACTCCAAGGTATGGTTGAGAGGAAGGGTTTTATTATAAACATAAGGAAGAGTCCATCCAGAGGCATCTGGAAGAGTCTAGATCAGGAAGAGAAAATAGTACACCGAATATGGCCAGCAGACTAAAACAGGCCATGAGATGAAGAGAGGAAGAGAAGAGATGACCAAGAGACAGAGACAAGAGAGAAGGTGCCAAGAAAGGAAGATGAAGACCAAGAGGTCGCATGGCCAAAATAGCAGGGTTATAGAGAAATGAGAAGCTAGGGGAAAGGGAAGCCCATGAGCTGCAGAAACTTAGGGTAGGGGCTTGAGTGAGAAGAGCTAAGAAGAGGTATGATGCCAGTATGAACTCTGTAGGAGGTGTTTGTGATTCTGAGAGAGCCTTGAGGCCAGGATGTGTTTGGTATGCTAATAGGTACCACAGTTAGCTGTTCATCCCATTTCTTTTGGACCTGACATTCCAGCCTTTTTGTTGATAATAATAACATAATCTCTTCTGTAACTACTTCACAGTTCAAAGTAGGGTGCCTGTTTGTTGGGACTCAGGAAGGTTGAAATGCCAGTCAAAGGCCAGGAAGGTAGGGAGTCAGGCAATGGCCAGGAAACATCTGGTTCACTGTTTGTCTTGCTGCCCAGGTTCTCCCAGGTTTCAGCATGTATAAAGTGAGGCCATGCTGGCATCAAGGTAGGACTGAAGGGAACATTTCTATTGTAGATCTGAGGAAGAGTATCTCCAGAGGCATCTGGAAGAGTTCAGGCCATGGAGAGAAAGTAGTACATTGAACAGGGCCAGCAGACAAGACTTGAGAGGAGGGGTGGGAAGAGGACGCACGTGCTACATACACACACACACACACACACACACACAGAGAGAGACAGAGAGAGAGACAGAGAGACAGAGAGACAGAGAGAGACAGAGAGAGACACACACACACACACACACAGAGAGAGAGAGAGAGAGAGCACAAAGAGAATGCATAGCTGAAAAGACAGTGTTACATAGGAATGAGAAGCTTGGTAAAGGGAAGGCCATGGGCGGAGAAGTTTAGGGTAGGGGACAGGGTTAGAAGACCTGAGAGAAGCCACAGGTGATGTGATAATGAGAAATCCTGGAGGCCAGCATCCACTTTGATATACTAATAGGCACCACAGATAGCCATTTATCCTGAGTTTCTTTTGGAAATTTCTTTTTAGAGTAGTGAGCTGGCATACGGGTGCTGGAAACTCAATACCAGTCCTCTTCATGAGCAGTCAGAACTCTAAATGACTGAGCTAGCTTTCCAGGTCCTAATATTGCTATCTTAAAAATGTAGTAAGTATTAATGTAAAACATCCAAAAAAGGAAAACAAAATGAGTGAGGGCTGTCCCAGAATTCTGTGCCATTGTCATGACTTTTCTATAAACCTAAAAATACTTTCTAGAGTGAAAAGTTTATTAATGAGTAAAAAAAAAAAAATCAGTCAATAAATTCTTAAATTATGTAAATTGCATCTGATAGTAACATTGAAGGTGATACACAGATTGACTTTACTTGTATTGATACTCCAAGCTGAGTTTGTGAGATACTGTAAAATAGAATAGATGAAGAAAGGCAATAAATTGACATTTGTTGAATAGTATCATTAGATACTTCGTGGAACTTCAAGCCATTGGACCTCTTTCAAAACGAGAGCAAGAAGGTAGGAAAGATAGCTCAGTGGGAAAAGCATTTGCTAGTGTTGTAGAAGACTGGAGCTTGTTTCCAAGCACTACATATGGAGAGTGTAGTCTCAAGTGTCAGGGAGAGCCGACACTTACCCTGTTCTCTGTGGGCGTCTGCATGAACAATCACGAAAGCCCCCCCCCCCCCAGTTCCAAAAACCAAAGACAACCACAGAGTTTTCTTTATATAGAAAGAAAACTGAGACTGTGGGTTTAAGAATTATCTCATCATTCTATAGTTACAAAATCTGTAACAGAATTGGGAATAAAAATTATCAGGTGGGAAAATGCCAACCATGAAAGGCTAGAAGATATGGGGAAAGGATGCAGAGTAGTAGGTCAGCAAATTCTCATCATTCCACATGACTTGAGGAAGGTGGGCATTTCCAAATCTGGTGCTCCTTACACACTCAGAGGGACTTGGAATCAGAAGTTTTATCTGTTAAGCTAGGCATCTATAATAGTTAGTGTTAAGCATCTGAAGATCATTTTCTCTTCTCTGCCAGTGTTGTACAGTGATATAAAACATTTCTCCTCTTATAGTAGTCAGAGTTCTCTAAGGGATAGAACTTGTGTGTGTGTGTGTGTGTGTGTGTGTGTGTGTGTGTGTGTGTGTGTGTGTGTGTGTAAATTATTAGAGTGGCTTATCAGCTGTGGTCTTGATAGTCCAACAATGGCTGTCTCCCTGCAGAAAGGTCAAGAATCCAGTAGTTGTTCAGACCATGAGGTTGGATGTCTCAGGAGTTCCAGTCTGATGATGGAGTCTCGGATGTTTCCTTGAGAGCTGCTGGTCTTCAGTGAACACTGTAAAACAAAGAATTAGGTCAAACCCCAGTAAAGGAATGCCTCAGCAGCAGAATAGATAAATTTGCCACTGAAAATGAGAGCAAGCAGGCAAAATACAAACACCTCCTTCTCCCATATCCTTTTATATTGGATACCAACAGAAAGTGTGGCCTAGATTTAAGGTAGGGCTTCACATATCCAATGACCCAATCGATAACAGTTTTCACAGGTGTGGCAGCTGCTTGGGTTTTAGTTGACTGCAGATGTAGTCAAGTTGGCAACCAAGGTTAGCCAGCACAGCTCTCCACCTTCCATTTACAGGAGATTCTGTGTGCATTCCAGCTCTTTTAGTGTTTTCTTATAGGTATATATGGAAACTTAAAAATTACTGATCATTTTTGGCTTTTGGATACTATAAGAGAGGAGCCATGGTTTAAGAGATGCTGACAGATGACAACAATACTTGCTTTTCTGGGGTCTTGTCACCTAAGCACAAGGCAAAGGAAGTGTGAATGTGTTTCTGTGAGGTTTTTTTGTTTTGTTTTTTTGTATCATATTCCCCTGACTTCACAGCTACAGAAGATTCTTTCTTTCCTTTGTATTCTCTCTACTCTACTAACGTCTAGGGCGGGGCATTTTATTCAAGGCAAGGCTTCATTAATTTAAGCAAATGTCCCTATCTCTACTTACAAACACAGGAAGAGATATGCTTTTTGCAAACATAAGTTATATCACCATAGCCAGAAAGTCTCTGTCTATCCTTTTAATTATTATTATATTTTAATTATTTTCTTCCAGTGTCAGATCATCAGAAGAAATAAATTTCAGTCTGGAATATAAGAAGAGAAATATCTATAAGAAAAAAACACATAAACCTTGCCATCGTGAAATTATACAAAAATCAGCCGGTAAGTAATTGCTATTGACACAGTAGAGAATGACATTTTATAGAACAGTGTGAATGGGACAAAGAGCTGTATTGTCCAGCAGGAATGTTCATTTTTCCTTAATAAATATAACGAGTAATCCTATGGTCCTCATCTGATGAAGGAGGAGGGTAAGGCTTGGGCCTACTAAATAGCACACAAGGTTTCTAGCATGCACAACAAATGGTGTTGACTGCTCAGCACCCTGGCTCTCAAAGAGTGTAGGTCTAGCACCATCAGCATCATGGAACAGGTTAAAAATGTAAACCCTACTACATGCATCCTCTTTCCCTTCCTCAAAAAAAATGAATAAATCAGAAGCCAGGTGGTACATGGTGACCCATGGTTTACTTAGCTCTCTTTGTGTTGATTCTGATGCATAATAAAGTTCAAGAACCACGGGCTTAGGGTCGGCCTTGTAGAGCGAGTACAGTATGATAGTAGAACCGCAGTTCCTGCCTCCACAGAACTATCAGCCACAGAACATAAAACCATTTCTTCTATTGGCATTTATTGATTTCTTTTTCATTATTCCCTTGTCACATGAAGCAAAAACTTTTTTCAATTCATTCAAAACTTGGCTTTTAATGTGTGGCTTGCATAAATCCTTTACTTCTTCATGGGCAAAATAAAGAAAATGCTGCTGTGGAATGAAAAAGTACCTGTCAATTCAAAATTTAGATATTTTGTTCAAAAAACACTGAAAAATGTATTGCATTTCACAAAGGATATAATTTTCTTGGAGATAAAAGAGAAATTGAAGCCTTTCCAAAACTGTAGAATACTCATTTTCTTTTCTTTCTTTTTTTTTACTAAGAATTTTTTTTATTCATTTTACATACCCATCACAGATTCCCCCTCTTCCCTCCTCCTGCCCCTCCAGCCTTTCTCCCAACCCATCCCCCATTCCCTCCTGCAAGAAGATAAGGCCTCCCTTGGGCAGTCAGCAGAGGCTGGTACATTCAGTTGAGACAGGTCTGGGCCCCTTCCCCTGCCTCAAGACTGTGGGAGGTTTCCCACCATAGGTAGTGGGCCCCAAAAAGCCAGCTCATGCATTTTCAACAGAATAATGTAGAAAAATACACAAAATGCAAAATGAACGAAAAGGAAGTCTTGGGTTCCTCCTTGTCCTTTGAACAGAAAGGACCCTGGGTTTATTTTCAGCTGAGCTTAGAGGATGTGGTAATCACTGCAGCTGCATCAACTGAGTGATAAGAAGGTTACATTTTAAAAAGTAAATTTGGAAATGCATTAGCTCATTTCAAAGAGTTAATGACATTGTCCTTTTCCTCTCTTCCTTCCCTTAAATTGCCATTTGAAGGCATCTTTAGGTCCTTAAGCCTTAGAATGTTGAACGAGCTGCCTGAAGTGAAGCAACCTGAATTCCTTTTAAATCCTGACAAATACTTTAAGGAAGAGCCAGAGGAAGATGAGCCCCAAATTCCGGAGCTTCCTTTGCTCTCTGAAAGTAAGTTCTCAGTGTACCTACAATCTCCACTCTTTCTTCATACAGTACAATTAAAGGAAAATGAAATACAGTAGAATAGCACAGAATCAACACATGTGCCTTGTAGGTTGCCATGAAACAAAGTGTAGCGTGGTTTGTCAAGATTTACAGCTCTGTGCTCTCAGCAAGAAGAGCCAACAGGCTGCAGTATGTGAAATGGATATTTCTATTGTGTCGCTGTTCTGAAGGAAGACTGCCTTGGATGCTATGAATCTGTCGTAGATGAGTACCTCTCCTTCCCAAATAACCTTCATTTTCAAAACTGATACCAGAGATAGAAACATCATGAGATTCTAAAGATTTAGAAGAGAGTCTCTAGCAATCTGGCTCTGTTTTTCCTTTGCCTCTATAAATAGCGGCTACTTAAAGTGCATTGTCTCAGAGGCTCCAGCTGCAGTGCCGGGCTAATAAGAGAGGACAAGGAAGCGTAACTGGAAAAAATGCAAAGGAATGATCTCTGAGGATTTCCAAATAGCATGTGCACGGGACTGCTCTATTTTTCAGACTCTTCTAGCCTTTGCAGTCTGTGAGCATTTGGAGAATAAGATCTGTACAAACATCTTTCCCACAAAAGGAGCCTTGCGGGAATTCAGGCAACACAACCTGAGACTGGGTGAGGAACTGAGAAGGCATCTGGGCACTGTAGGGGCTCTCATTTCAAATAATCGATGGAAACAGAGTCTTTTCAACGTGCGGTACTGAAAGGAACAGAGCTACATGGCAGTCATCTGAGACCCACAGTCTCTAAACTTTCCCAAAGTCTGACATAGGGTTCAATATTCTTCTTAACAATACCGTTGTAGGAGGCAGTTGTTCTCTTATATCCACACTTGGAGATATTTTATAGTTATCATCGTGAACAATTGTCATGTCTCATTGCTGTACTTTCCAATCTTCTGTTACCACATTGCTGGTCTTTTCTTAAACTTCCTCTGTTCTAAATTTGCACTCATTTGCTTATTTTCTTGAGCTTTTTCTGCTCATTTCTCTTAGAAGTACATAATCATAAACTTTAAGCCTTTAGGTATATGGAATAGGCCTTCCAATCTGTAGTCCTGTCATTTTTCATTAGGATTATCTAACTTTAAAAAAAAAAAAGAACTGGGGAAATCTGTCTGAGGGGAATTTGCTACAGACTAGATTTTGGATCTCCAGAATCCAACTGTTTGGATGGGTATGCACAGTTGTAGCCTGTAATCCTAGCACCCAAGAATTAGGAAAGTCAGAGAAAGAGAGAGAGAGAGGATCCTAGGGGAAGCTTGATAGCTAGGTTAACCTCCAGGGTGAGCTGTGGAATCTACTGGGGCTGGGTGGAAACATGATGACCAATGTAACTCAGGGAGGAAAGGGTTTATTTAGCTTATGTTTCTGAATCACAGTCTGTTGATGGAAGCCAACGTAAGGATTCAAACTGGTCAGGAATATGGAGACAGACTGTTGTTTACAACAGTAATTTTACAGCTCTGATCTGCTCACACTGGGCAACCTTGGCTCTTTTTCTGCTATCTGCTTTACTCTTGGTTATTGGTCACACTTTACGACCTCCTTGTAAGTCTTGTCATGTGTTATTCAACAGAAATAGTAAAATCTTTGTAGATATTGAAGTGAAGCCTATTTAGTTCTGTAAAGAGAATGATGGTCAACTTGTGTCAATAAAACTAGGAACTGTGATAGGCAGTTCTGAGGTGCAGTTTTTACTGGACTTAGGGTACTTTTGATTTAGAATGCCTGAGTTAGACTTCTGCCCTTTTAGATAGAGGAGAATTGTCCTATAAATCTCGCAAGACAGTATATTTCTTTGCTTTTTCAGTCTACTGAATAGTCTCCCACCCCTACCAGTGTTCAGAGAATGCAAAAGGGAATGTTGGCTAAAGCCACTGGATTTCTCTGTACTCCCTACAGAGCTATCAGAACATTTGAGGCAAAGTATACACCTCCACCTCAAGACAGGGTCTTGCTTTGTAACCCAAGCTGGTCTTAAACTAACTATGTAACCCAGACTGGCCTGAAAGGCCTAATTCTTATCTTCTTGAGTGCTGGGGATATTTCAGGTTTGATCATACCCAGTACAAATCTGTCTCCTACAAATGTCCACATATGATGTAAAGAATATCATATCATCTAGGAAAGGTCCATGCTGTTTTTCTCTTTAATTAATGTGTTCATCTTTGCTTTCTTCCCATGCCCTCTGATGACTATAAGAGAATTATTTGTCATTTACCTTACATTCTCTTTTGCTTTATATGAGAATGATAACTGTCCACTGCCTACCAGATCCTCCACAGAAACAAAATTCTTGTTGAAAAAGAAAGAGGAAACTTACTTGATCACATTCCTATTTTAGAAGACTTTTTAGGAGCAGTGTGGAGGGTGATATAATGTGGCTAGGTTGAAGGCAGCTTAGTTTAATAGTTGAGATGTGTGCAGTCCATCTGTCTTCCATGCTTCTTCACTTTGCCTTTGAGTAGGAACTTGCATATGTGTGGAATACATCTCTTATTATTAGTTTTCTCATCTGTCATATCCGGATAATGATACCCATCTTGTAAAGCTATGAGGGTTAATTACAGCACATGACAGCACATCCCAATCACTTATCAAATGTTATATTACAATATTTAAAAAAATAAGAAAACCTTAGAAAATAACTAATTTGAAAGTGTTAAGTGTTGAATGAGAAGGATCACATGTCCTGATCAGACCTGATCAGAGACATATAAATATGACTATCAAATTTCAGGTTGGATAACTATGCCAAAGCAGAAGGTCCCCAGTGAGAGAGGAAATGCAGATGAAGATGGTTCAAAGTCAGGGGAATGTCATTTTCAGGATTTGGTGAGAGGAAGTGTCTGCCGGCCATCTAGGAAGACAACTGGCCTTGGTAGGCGGGAAAGAGCAAGCGTGGAGACTGAGTAGCAGCACAGCTAAGAGACACTTATTTTAATATTAATTTAAAGTTCAGCTTTTTCTCAGCTGATTTTAATTGCAATATGTGGACAGAACAGCAATGTGGGCCTTTAGAAATGGACCTCTGGAGAACATAAGTATGAGGTCTTTAGGCTCAGAGTTATTACCCCCAGTAAATTATAAAGTAATAATTATTTAGGGAAGCATTTCCATTTATAAATGGAATAAAACATGGAAACAATAGTGAATATTATTTGGCAATTGTACTATAAGAAGCATTTTCCCCAGGTACTCTCAATGTTATAAACTATAACTTTGGATCATGGGACACTTTCAAACACTGCCTAATCCCCTGTTGGCTTTTCAGTCTTAGCTACTGGGCTTTTAATATCCTTTTGTATTCTTTGTAGTTCTTTTTCAACTTGAAACATCTTTAGCTTCCAAGTTGTTCCCAGTGGATTCTCAAACAGCATGGAATCCCCCTTTTATATGCTGTATTCATAGTGCTTAGAGCCAGCGCACAGGGTCAGGTTTACCATAAGAACCATTCATACTTATTCTTTGAATCTTTAAAGCTCCCATTGTAGAAAATGTGTTCCATCAGAAACACTTCAGGTAAAGTAGGTTTTATTATTATTGTTGTGGCCCATCAAGACAAATTACAAACAATAATTAAAGAGATGATTAAAGAGATGATTTTATTCAGGCTATTGTAATGGGAAGGACTCTCATTAAAGAGGACCAACTCAGAGGATTAAAAGGAGGCCTGTGCTTTTGCAAAAATGAAGAAGACATCTGTGAGTCTTTGAAAACAATGAAGAAGGATAGAGAGGGTTGTGTCTCAGTAATATGAGAGCAGTTGGTGCTTTTTTGTGATTAATTGTTTCTGGAGCACAAAAGAACAATGGGATTTATTACCTATTTCTGCTTTTCAGAAGCTCAGAATCAGGTAAAATGAGTGTTGTCAGGTTCTGTTTTGTGGATGATGAATGAGTGTCAGTTACTGCTGAACAAGCCAGAGGAGGCCAGAAGCCTTCTGGATGCAGTGAAGCAAGATCTCAGCAGCAATCGCTCAGGAATCCTTGTTGGCGTAGCATTTTGTAGGTGAGTTTTTCTGTGTCCAGGCAGTTTCTTCCAAGTAACCACAAGAGACTTAATATAAATCATAAATGCTTGGCCGATAGCTCAAGCTTATTACTAACTAGCTTTTACAACTTCAATTAACCCATTTCCATTAATGTATGCATTGCCACATAGCTCATGGCTTTCTTTACCTGTCCTCCAGCATGTCTTGCTCCTTCTGTATCTCCTGGTGACTCTACCGACTCTGCATTTCTTCCTTCCAGCAGTCTCAGTTTGGCTGTCTCATTTATATTTCCTGTTTGGTTGCCCGTCAGTCAGTTCTTTATTAACCAACGAGAGTAATATGTATTCATAATGTACAGAAAGATTATTCCACAGCACTTTTTGAACCACAACTTGGGAGGTAGTGGTTTTGGATGGCTGAAGCTCCTAGGACATGGATTCTCACAAAGCAACCTAGAGTTTGGTGGGTCTGGGCTATTTGTATTAAGATTTTAGTGACGTCTTTGGGTGTTGATGAGGGTTTGGCATAATTGCAAAAGTTAGTTCAGATGGTTGTAGCTTGATAGGGAAAGAAAAGAACTGATAATTAGTAAGGATAATTTGTACAGGGAAATCAGCTTTAGCATAACTTAGATACAGCCACCCAAACTGCTACCTTTAAGGTAGGAAGGAAGTCAGTCCAATCTTTACCAGACAAGAGAATTACATATCCATCACTAATCTGCTCTGGTCAGCTTCCTGATGCTGTGATGTTTGATGGCATTCAACATAGGGAGATAATATTGGCTCATGGGTTCAGAGGTTTCAGCTCATGACTACTTAGCTTTGTGGCTCTGAGCCTATGGCTAGGGAATGCATCAAGGCAGGAAGCATGTGGCAGGGGGAAGACTTTAGTTAACTGGACCCAATAAGAAAGTCAGGAAGGGCAGAAGTTCAAATATCTGCTTGTAGTTCAAGTTACTAGTGAC